CAATCGAAAGCGATTATTTGGTTTTTTGCCATTTTGGTTTTTTTCAAACATTTCTTTCTTTGCTTCTGCGTTTTAGAATCCCTCTAAACCACAGAAACCATACAGGAAGTGCATTATTGCGACCATTTTCCCGCAGAAGTTTAATTCGAGCAGCTGAACAACAGCAAAGTTTAAAGAGCGTACTTTTTTTAACTTTGTTGGTGATGGAAAGCCTTAGCAAGCTTAACGGTGATAAAAGAGGTTGCACCGAAGTGAATAGGAATATAGAAATTTCAAACTTCTGCCGATTTGAAATCCAATTTCTGCCGGACAAAGACCAAAGTTAAATCTTCATTATTCCGGAAAAACAGTTCAATCATGAAAACGTGCAGTGGCAGAATCTACCTGAACTCAATTTCTATAACGGACTTCTGTTAGATACGATTGCTTAGAAACAGATCAAGGCGCATCTAAAAAATGCAATTTTTTATCAAAAGAGTTTGCTTTGGATGAGTTTATTAAAACGTTTTATAAAACTTTTGTCTGCATTGATTTTTCAGTGGTTTTTTCTGATGTTTCGTTTCGAAAGCGTATTTTTCAAAACTGCTTTATGCGGAATGGATTTTGAATAAATTCTCCTCAGATAAAAACTGTTTTGCGTGTTCTTCCAGACAAGGTGATTGACTTTTTCCAGTTGTGTCCATTTTTGGCACTTTTTAATACTCTTTAGGTCAATTCGGTGTGCGAAAGTACACTTTCAACAATTTTCCTTTCTAAAAAATTCGCTCGCAGCAACTTGGGCCTTGGAACGGTCACTTTAAATGTAGTTTCCCTGTTCAACTTGTAAAATTCATCAACCAAACGCGCATCCTTGACTTCTTCACAAAGTTCAATAGGAAGTTGCTTCTCATCAGCAATGATTGTTTGCTAAAAATAGTGATTGTCTGCGTTGTAACATTGTTTAAACGGGCAGTGAGTAAAAAATGATGGGAAACCATTACGTGTTTTTCCTTTTCAAAGCCATTGAGCGCAAAACAGCAGATTTTAGAACAAGATTCATCCGAGATGGATCATGATGGAGATGGCTGGGTGTTTTTGTTGTAAACTTTTTGTTTGTTTTCCAGCCATTCAGAATTTAATAGGGGAACCGGATTACCGCGAAGTGCATCTTCACTGGGAAGCAAAAAATCCCGACCTCCCAAAAAATGGATTCAACGTGCGATATTGCGAGTTGCAATCTTGGGGCCAGCAACGATGTCGACTTCTTTCCGTGAACGGCACTGGGGGCGAGAAAAACTTCGTTGAAGGTACCTAAGAACCCGTCAGCTTAATCTAAAGCGAGTCTAATCGACGACAGTTGCAGAAAATGAGCCCATTCGGCAATATTCGGCCAACGTCAAGGGCTTGAGGATGGCCACCACCTACTCCTTTGAGGTGAAGCAGATGAAGGACAAGGAGGAAAAGGAGCGTGAAGATCGAGCAGAGGGCGACGACAGGAACCAGAACATGATCGTCATACCCACCAAAGGCTGTAAGTGTTCCAAAGCTATTATATGCGATATTTCTTCGGCCGCTCGCCAATTTTACCTCGAACTTTTCACTAAGTCTCGGCTTGGATTAGTCCATCCGAGAAGCAACGGTAAACTTTACACTACAGTAAGTGTGTCTAACTCGCTTTAATACTCACTGGATGTAGGTTAGTAAATACTCGCGTGATATGGGTCTTGCTTGCAATAATCGCACCAGAAAATCTCACCTAGTCTAATTATCGTGGCATTTCATCAACCAGCCAATTGAATCACTTTCTTCTCCGTACGAAAAACGATGCAATTTGCTATTCAGATGATGGGAAATGCAATCCAATAGGCAAAAAACACTGAGGGCTTTCGATTTCATGCCATTTAACGAGTTTATTAGTATTCTAAACGCCATAGACAAACGGGTTTTAAGGCCGGAAAAAGTGGTTTGGGCAGTTTGAGGATGAAAGTTTGCCAGTTGGAGCCAGAAGTTCCAAATTTCGCCCAAACAGTGCGCAAAAGATTTGAAGCAAACGTTGCCCGACAAAATCAGCAGGCCTTAAATGGGGCGATCGTGATGGCCATGTGTCTTCGGTTCAAAATTCTTCGGTAGTTTCATCATAACGTAATCGCGTACACCATCAGGCATGTTAATTGGACGATGCTGTTTGCGTAAGAAGTAGATATATTCATTGTCTTAATTCTAATTTCTGCAGATTAAATTTAGCTGAAAACCACACACTAAAGCCGGATCGGAATAATTCAATCAAACATATCGCTTTTTCCATACTTCTATCTGCTAGTAAGTTGCAAGCCTTTAAAGCTTATTTAATAGTTACCATTTTTTGAGATTGTTATAAATTTCTGTTCCAAAACGTTCTGTTGGATTTTTGCTTCATTTTTAACAACTTCCTTCTTCCAGCAAGGGGATTTTTAATTATTTCCGTTTTTCGTAAAGGTTTTAATATTTTCCTAAATTTTAACGGGTTGAATGCTGATTGGATAAACTTATAATTGTTTTGTCCAGAAATTGCTTTTTTATCTTTCAGATTTCTTCACTGACTTTTCATTAAGCAATTTTTCAAATTGATTGTTTCGAATAACTAACACTGTACATGCACAGTATCCCTTCTTTAATGTAGGGCTGAGTAACAACCTGTGTTGAGTTGCGCTATTGAGTTGTTGCCGGTCTCTGAGTTAACGAGTTATAACTAATCGGTTAATGAGTTATAGTTCATTTGTTAAAGCTTCACGAAACCCGAGACTGGAATTTTGACATCTAAAAAAAGGGTTTTACATTTTTTCTGAGTAACGTTTTACTACTTTGTTCAAACAACTTAAAAAAAGTTATCTAGATTTTGCCCATTTTTTTTTAGGAAAAACTGTTTTGGTTTTTCGGTTTAGCGACAGTGTTGTTTAGAAATATTGACCAAAAGGTGATGAAATTGCAGTTTCCAAGAGTTTTCCCAATAAATGATTATAAACCTTTTGTTCAGTTCGGGGAAATATTTTTGGAAAAAGAACTCGAAGTAATTGTTAGGGTTTTGTCCATAATTCGAAGCTGCAAAAAGTTTGGAAAACTTTTTGCAAAGCGGTTAAGGAGGCGAGTGTTTCAATAAAATGTATCTTATAATTTTTCACAGAAAATACCTGAAGTTTGCAAGTATTTTAAGTAGAACTAAAATATAATGCGATTTTTGCGTAGAAGGAATTGCTTAATAGAAACTTTTCTAAAGCTGGAATGACCTGAAAATTTAAAGGAACTTTAAAAATGTTCAGAGCGATGAGGCAAATTCTCCCAACAATTTTTCGTAAATTGTGCTTACTGTTCGTTTTTTAAGATAGTCCTAATTGCTTTCGGTAAAAAACTGAATACAATTATTTGGTATTTCTGCCAAATTCGAAGCTGAAAAGTTCTAAGTCTTAGTTTTCTAAAGTTCCCTGCAAACTGATGAATCAGGCGAATTAGCAGTTTTAGCACTTAACAGCAAGATTAATTTTTTTCGAACTTTTTTTTGGGTATTTCGCCACAAAAATGTTTACAGATTGATAAATAGTGCTCCTATTTTGCAATAAGAACGAATTATTAATCAAAAAGTAATCAAGAACTATCACCTAGAGGGTACCTTGCGACACACTTAGGCTAGGAAAGAAGAAGAAAGAAGACTGAAAAGAGATGAAAATCATCACAAAATAATGTTTTTTTGCGTTTTCGATTAAAAACTTTTAGTTTTGTGATCGGTTTTGGAGAAAACCTTAGAGTTTTTCGGAAAAAACCGATGGGAATTTATCTTCGATTTCGTTCCGAATTCGACACTGAAGGGATAAATTTATCTTGTAATTTTTCGCGTAAAAGTCCTCCAGATCGTCAGTATTTTTAAGTAAAACTCTAAAAAATAGAGTCAAAAAGAAAAAAAATTCGGTCAAAACTAAAAAAACACTTTTTTTACAAATTCTACAATCTTTAGAGGAATGAGGTGACGAGACTTCCCAAATAATCTGTTATAAACTTTCGCCTATTCTGTAGGTTTTTTGATAGAAAATGGTTTGATTTTTGTTCCAAATTCGAAGCTGGAAAGGGATTTCAAAGCTTTTTACAAAGCGACGAAGGATTCGAAATTTATTTAATACTTTTTCGCGGAAAATACCTCAAGATTGTCAGCATTTTTAAGTGAAACTTTAGAAAATTGAGCATTTAGAAGAAAGAGTACCTTGGCTAAAACTGGAAAATTCTTAAATTTTAAGCCATTTTAAAAATATTCTTAATAAAAGGCCTTTAAAACAAATCTAAAAATAGTTTAAAAAAAGTCGTCAACATTTTCCCAGCAACGGGACTGAGTTACTGCGCCGGTGCGTTGGGTTGGCGCACCAAGCCATTTGCGCAGCACTGCAGGCCTACTTTAATGTTTTCGCCTAAGCGCATTTTCAGCCAACCTAGTTTAGAGTAAGGAGGAGTTAAATGAACTGCGCTATTTCCACCTAGGTATAAATCTGTCGTTCCTCATAATCAACGGGCAACCAATTGCGTACATTCCATCCCATTGCGAGAAAATGAGCAAAAAACGTTTCAAATTTGAAGTTGTCGCTAAACCCCACATGGATTTGTTCAGTTTCAGCAAAAGCCACGCAATGCCTGCCAGATGCAAGCGAAATCGAAGTATCCACCGGTCCATTCTTCGGGGGTAGAATAGCGGTGGAGGCGGCCGATGGAGAACGATGCGCTATCGATGGAGAACCAACCAGCCCAAAAGACACCTACACTTTGCGGATCAACCACACGGAATGCGGCAGCCAAGTGAACGAAACCACTGTGGCCACTTTCGTGCTGGTTCAAGAGAACCTGCCCATATTGACTCACAGCACCCGAAGGTACGTGGAAGTCGCAATTAGCTGTTGCATTATCAAAATCAAAAGGTGCCACTGTCCATTACTCAATGGCATTGACCGGCAAATCGCTAAATGCACCATATGTTCTGCAGGAGGATTCTCAGCCTGTACACATTTCCGCTGATGGTTTAGGCATAATGCATTAAACCACTTTGCTACCATGAAACAGTGTGTCATGGTATGCTCGAGTGGTTTGCTTGTCTAAATGGTGCGACTGCTTGATATTCAACTGGACTTTTCCATTTTTATCAGCAACAGTTTCCTACTTATTTAATTTTTTTGCGATCAAAACTGTTTGGTTTTTTTAAAGCCCAAGATCTCTCCAGTTTCCAATCAACGTTGCTTGAATCAAAAATGCAACTTTTTAACATGTTTTCTGTACGTTCAGATTAAACGATTTTTTGCAGATTTTTAGTGCTCTGCTCCTACCAGCCAGAAACCTTAACAGTGCGAGCCGGAATTAGTCTGCCCAACAGTCGCGGTCAAGCCCATCTTGAACTGGCCTCACCAGTAGAAGACGAGGACAATTATCTAGGAAGAAGGGCTAGAAAAATGCGAGCGGGGCGTCTGTTGCATAAACCTCTCGCTTTGGGTACGCATCAAACATTAGCTTGGGAAATTACTGGAAAATCAAACAATCCCTAATTTTTCCAGTTCAAGAAGAAGTCGCAGCTGCTGAAGCCCAAATCTCGCCAAAAAGCCAAATAGTACCAGTTTTCGTCATAACCATGCTCTCCATTGCAGGAGTGATTGGGCTGGTGGCAATAGTGCTGAAGATTTCCAGTAAAAAGCTAATGGAAGAAATGGATAACGTGTCCATAGCTTCCGACCTATCCACTGCCAGCACTTCTAGTGTGGTATCCATTGAAGAGTCAGGCGATGAGAAGCAAGAGAAATGAGCGAAAATTCAAGGATCTGCTTCTGCAACTTGACGGTTAATTTTTATTTTTTAAGCCCGAGGAAAGGTGCAGATTTTCGACTGGCCCACGGACATTTTCTTTCATCAAATAGCCAGTTTTCCCTGGTTGTGTGTTTATTTATGGTTTTTGTACTTACGTGAATGATACTGAGTGCACTTCAGAGGCGATAGCCGTGTTTACTATGTGGGACACCAATCGTAATCGCTTGCATTCCTTGAAATGTGATAAATACAATGTTTTATGTTAGTTCTATAAGGAAACAACATTCGTTCGTACTGAGGAAAATAGCAGGATTTTTATAGGAGTAAGTAGAAGGTGAAATAGATAATTGTTCAAAAACATTTGTTGGACTCATTTGCCTCAGAACGCCCAATTTTCCTCAATTTTTAACAAATTATAACATACCAAAAATTATGACTCCCTGTCGAAATGTTGTTGGAGCCTGTACAAGTCACTTTAGATATAAAAGTGGTTAATTAAACGAGTGCGAATTCTACAGCATGTATTTCCGAATTTGCTGAAAAGACTGGGTGTTACAATTGCTACGAATTGGCAAATTCCCGAATTAAATCAATCAATAATAAACCTTGGAAAGGCTAATAAAATTGACAAGAAAATGCTAGTAAAGGCTTCATTGTTTATAAACTTTTAGTTGGGACTGCAAAGAAACTGGCCGGCTTTATGTGCTCGTGTAAAGGCCACAAACCATTTAAAATTCAGAAGACCTTATTTCAAACTGTTATAATTAGAGCCCAGATTGCATTCGTAAAAACGCCGATCTAAATCAAGGCTTAAAAAAAGTTAAATAAAATTGTGGTATAAATGAAAACAATTGCATACATTTTGAAAATAGCTAGAAATTGTGACGATCTTGAATTGAAGCTGGTGAGTTTTTCGGACTTTTAGGCCGTGGAGGAAAATCATTTATTTCTGGTGTTTTGCAACCATGAGCTGAATCTATTCCTTTCGAAGTAACAAGCTCACAAATCCACATTCATAAAGTGTTTGGGTCAATAATAAAGAAGAAATCGCCCTCTAGAAGATTCTAAACGCTCGAAAAGGGCTTAAAATGAACCAAAAATGTCGATTATTTCGTAACTGAAATTCTAGATTGTTTTTCATTGAGTTCGCTGCAGTCCTCGCTTCCTTGAGATGAAATTGATGTAGAATTCAAGGCGCTTTCACAAAATTGATATTTTTGCAAAAAATCACCTCCACCCGTTTTCAGGCAAAAATCTAAATTTCACGTCTGTGTTTTTTTGAGCTCAGTTATTCCTTTCAACGTAAAAATGTCACAAATGCGCGTTTATAAAGTATTTGGGTCAATAATAAAGAAAAAATCGTCGGTTATAGCGCGTAAACGCTCAAAAACGGTTAAAATGTGTCGAACATATTGAATATTTAAAAACTGAAACTTCTAGCTTGTTTTTCAATGAGTTTGTTGCATTCCTCGCTTCCATGAGATGAAAATGATGTCGAATTCAAGGCACTTTGGCAAAATTTACATTTTTACAGAAAATCGACCTCCAGCCTCTGAAAATTTTCGGGCAAAAATCAAAATTTCACATGTGTGTTTTTCGAGCTCAATCGATTCCTTTCGATGGAAGAAGCTCACGAATGCGCAGTTATAAAGTGTTTGGGTCAATGATAAAGAATATATCGTCGGTTAAAGCTCGTAAACTCTGAAAAAACTGTTAAATTGTGTCGAAAATATTGATTATTTCAAAACTGAACTTCTAGCGCGATTTTCAATGAGTTTGTTGCATTCCTCGCTTCCATGAGATGAAAATGATGTCGAATTGAAGGCACTTTGACAAAATTTACATTTTTTCAGAAAATCGACCTCCACCCATTGAAATTTTTCGGGCAAAAATCAAAATTTCACATGTGTGTATTTCGAGATCAATCGATTCCTTTCGATGTAAGAAGCTCACGAATGCGCATTTATAAAGGGTTTGGGTCAATAATAAAGAATATATCGTCGGTTAAAGCTCGTAAACTCTGAAAAAACTGTTAAATTGTGTCGAAAATATTGATTATTTCAAAACTGAACTTCTAGCGCGATTTTCAATGAGTTCGTTGCATTCCCGCTTCTTGGAGATGAAACCAGATTTTACGAAAAACGCTTTTTTACAAATAAAGTGAAACTGAGAGTCGGCGAAATATATGTTTCTGGCAACATTTTATAACTTCTTCTACACATTGATGTGAAAAAGTGAGAAGGAAATTTGGGGGCAATTAGGAAAAGAATCTCTCTAGCACCTGTTGAACAGACCAAAACAGTTCTTTGTTTCAAGAGAAACTAATCCGTCCCTGACATTGAATGCAGTAAAATTGATGCTCTTGTACAGTTAAAACATAACAGCATCTCGATATGACCCATAAACCCGACATGCTTCTCCGTTAAGCCATTAGTTTTAAATGACACCTCATCTCAGTCCAGATAAAACCATAAATTAATTGTGTGTGGGTAATGAGTTTTTTCCAATGATTCTCTCCGGTGGATGGACAAGGCCGCAGAAAAGTAGCCAAGCAAAAGGGTACAGTTATTAAAACAGCTGCGGATCGACGTTGAAAGCGAAACCATGGAATTTCATCTAGTGGAGCTTCGCATCCTCTTGTGCTTAATATCACAGCTTGAAGCAGAAAACAATCTTCCAATCTTCTAGTTCAAGCGCGGATAATTGCAATGGGGATATTAGCGACGACTTGACTGTGAATGAAGCTACAAAAACCGCGACAACGGCTTTCTAGCATATAATTACGTTAATTGGGCGCCCCAACATCTAATTAAACTTGTAGGAGTTCCAAGTGAGTGCTTGCCTGTTTTAACAAACCTACATTTTTCTCGTTACCGGTTTCAAACTCTTATCATAATGTATCAATGGAGGTACCACTTTAAACGGGCCTTTATGTCTATGATAGGAACGGTAAGGGTAATTAGTTGTTTTAAAAGTCATTAACTAGTCACACAATGTGTCTCAAAGTGCAGAGAGTTTCTGTTTTCATTCAACATCTTTCCTTGGTGGCGTTTCTAAGGGAAATGAGGATTTTGACCATTTTTTATTAATTTAAGCTCGTTGATGCTGTAATAAAACAGAACAAGGGACGCCATGGTGTACATGTACGCTCTCTTACCGAGTTTTACGCGTGCAAATATTTGTTAGTAAAATGAATGAATGAAGAACAAATCAGGCATATTTTTTATTTCAAACCGGAGCCAAAAGAAGCATATAAACAAATCAAAAGACCTCAATTCGCCGCTGTTAAAAGTTCTTTTTCAAAAGGAAGTTAGTTCACTACTGTAGTGGAAAACGCCGCCAACTGTTGAAGACAACAGTCTTTTAAACGGCAAATACACACTTGAACGTATAAAAGATTTAATTCTATTTCCCACTCACCGTTTCCGATTCTGTCTGAGCGCAAACGAAAAATTTCCGGTTTCAGAAAAATCGCGTTTTTTGCATTCAAATCGCGCTGCCGGTGGTCAAAATCGTACAAAATTATTATGAAAACCAGCTCCAGCTGGAAATCAAATTTTTTCGCATAAAAACTGAAAAAAACTGGCGATTTTTTAACTTTAGACGAACCCTAATACATCAATCGACGATAAATTCACGAGTCTTTGTGAAGGGTGGATTGAAACATCTGAATAGTCTATTAAACAATTTTAATTGTCATCTGGAATAACTTCAGAATTTCGCCTCTAAAACTTATAGTGTGTACAGTACTTCGTGCAGCAACTTTTGTAAAAATATAGGGCAAAACTCACTAAAAAAGCTAAATTCCAATCCTCAAATCAATGTTGCCACATCCTACGGCCCCTCAGTCACTTAACACTGGTTACAAGCAGTAATTTGACTGCGTCAAATTTTGACAGAAGTCGGGGCTTTATTGCTCAAAAATCCACTATATTAAACACTTTATACCGACTTTGCTGTTTACTGTTAAACAAAAACTATTACATACTACAATTAAGCCAACACTACGAGTAACCCTCAGCCAACACAATGCTAATCAAAGTAAAGGTGAGTTTCTAGGTTGTACTTCAGCTTTGGGCTTGCTCAGAGTCCGGTGTTTTAAATCAAATATCGCCGTTAATCAGTCCCAATTTGCCTTATAGTTGGACAAACTCAACATTTTGAAATTAACCTATTGTTCTTTTATAGACACTAACGGGCAAAGAGATTGAAATCGATATCGAGCCCACAGACAAAGTAGAGAGAATCAAAGAGCGAGTAGAGGAGAAAGAAGGTATTCCACCCCAACAGCAAAGGCTAATATTCTCAGGAAAACAAATGTAAGAGCTTAGGCGTAAGATATAATGGGGGCTTATTACAGAGTTTTGTTTAGGAATGATGAAAAAACGGCCCAGGACTACAAAGTGCAAGGCGGGTCTGTTCTGCATTTAGTACTTGCCCTTAGAGGTGGTAAAACGCAACACATCTGATTTAGACTTTGCCTACACTCTGATGTATGTCCTGACTACATAGTTATAATTTATTTGTTATCAGCATTAGCTTAAGAGAAAATAAATTAATTTCTTTTTAACCAGGCATAAACGCTCTTAATATAAAAAGTCATGTACTTGAGCCAAATAGTTTCAATTATATACAAAAAACAACTCTTTTTGTTATTGTTATATTTACACTAATTAAAAACTAACTGCTTTTTAACATAATAAGCTTATTGATTTGCCGTATTGCATATTCTAAGCTGGCTGAAATGCTGGGGCAATCCTCAAACAATCCCTGAAAGTAGCGAGCTTCCGGCAACGCTCTTTTTCTAACATCCTTCGTAAGATTGTAAATAAAACTACAGTTAATAATATGATGAATTATCAAATCTGGATAGGGCATTTTCAGTAGGCCATTCAGATATTTAATGTGTAACATGCAGCTTTGAATTTCAGCGATTTTATGCACCAGCTTCCCATCAAAGTGCTGAGAATCTTCATAGGGGTTTCTGGTGAAGAAATGGATAACTTTTTTCATAAACACTGTACAGTCTTGCTTGAGCAGGGAGTGAAAACAATTCCTGTCTGCTCTAACTGGAGTATGTTTGGTGTTTTTGGGATAGTTCTGCATTTCAGCCTTATACGTACTGCGATAGGCCTGCGGAGACCTGAAGTATCCAATCTTGTGGTCAATATAATTTAAAATCATAAACATTATGACTAGAGGGTACATTAGTGAAGGTTCTATCGTGGTGTTTAACGCGGCATATTGGAGGGAAATTAAAAAAATATGCCACTCAGTTGGAAACTTTTCCAATACAGCTGGACAGTTTTCAGAGTCAATGTTCAATACGCGAAATAACACAGCCCTTCTATCTTTGAGCGACAATTTTTCAACTTCCTCCAAAGATGGTAATGAGACTGAGTAGGTTGTCTGCTTAAAGTGTTTCACTCGCGACCCGAAGCTACGAGCGACTATTGTAAACTGTTTGGAGGATTGTAAGCCGTTAGTACCGCCGGCTAGAATTTTATGTATGGCCCTTAGAATGTTGAAAGACACTTTATGGGGGCTTTCAAGCTCTCTGCTTTCCACTTGCGGTATACAGTAGTAGGTTTGCTGAGTGAGAATGTCCATGAACGACGACGGGTACAAGCATTTGGTGAAGTTTTGTTCAAAAACCCCAGTCACTAGGCTGGTATTGTTATTGTTCTCCAGATGGGCTACTTTGAGTTCTTCGGAATCGGCGTGAATTTCACCCTGGTTATTATTTGGGCTTGTATCCAGCTTAGCTCTCTTGGGGCTACTGGGGCCTTCAACTAATTTTTCCTTGAGACTTGCAAAGTCCAACTGTTTCCAGCCATTCGAGGCATTGGTTTTTATATCAAAGTACTGAAACAGCTTGGTGCCTGTTAGCTGATACGAAGTGACGATCTTCTCAATGGCATTGAGAATCCTCTGGCGTTCCTGGGAAGTCTCAAAGGAGTCCAGAATTTTAAGGACGGCCCCTTCAGGAGTCTGATTGGCCAGCCAAGCTAGCACCAAATCAATATTGCTTCGCGATTTATCAGTGGATAATTCCCGGATAAATTCCCTGAAAATTCCCGCTTTAATATAGTCGTTTCCCACTAGCACTGGCAGTAAGTGCAACGTTCCTAGTTCCAAGCCCGGGAATTTTTGCAGGAGCTTCTCGATTCTGTACAGCTGGCAGGGAATGAATTTGTATGAATCCGATGAGCCACTCACTTTAACAACGTTGTTCCTTATGGACTTGAACGGAATGTATTTCACCCCGAATAGGAAATAATCGGAGTCAAACGTGAGCACTGGACAGTTGAGCGAATGGCCCAAACTGGCAATTTCAGTGTCGCCTTCGAACTGGCACATTGCCATCGGGATGGCCAATTGCTTAAGAACGTCTTTGAAAGTCTCCCGCAAAAACAACGGAAAAACCACCTTCCAGGGCTGCGCTACCTCCATCGCACTATCCATTCGGATTCCAATTTCAATCTTGTCCTGCATCCTTTTGAGGATAGTGGGAAGCTTTTTCGCCTCAAACCCGCCATCAAACACCACAATCGGCTTGACGTTGGCTTCCTGCAGCATGTGGAAGAACCCCATCAGGGTATGTGCGTATTTATCGTAATCTCCCCCATAACAATTGAAGCATCTCGCATCTGGTTCAGGCACTTGGTTCCAATTGTAGATCTGGCAGGATAAACTGTGCCCGTCTATTACAAGAGTGCAATTGGCTAGTTTGTAATTTTCAAAGTAGCTACTAGCACTGTCTTGTATGTACTTGGCAAATCCAGGAATTCCCATTTTTTGTGTTTTCTGCGGTGTTTATTTCTATTTACTTTTGTTTTAAGGTTAGGCGGGGGGGTGAGACAGCTGTCGCCTGTGAATGGCAGATGGGGGCAGTGATGCCAGACGAGTGTGATCTTGGGCGCTGTTGTCTTTTTTCATAAAGGTTTTGAATGATTTTTATACGTTAAAAAAAATGTTTTTGCGCTTTGTAAAATATCAATAAATTGCTGTATCAAATGGCGATTAAAATAATTTTTTTCTGTTTTTTATTGAATAAATGTGCAAAATAATTAGATGCGCCCGAAACAACGCAAGTTTAAAAGGGGATTAATAAATATTTTTTAAATTCTGGTTTGAAAAACCGGTTGTTTTGAGCGTTTTTGCACACCCCGGTTTCGCAAAAGCGTATTCAATCGAGAAGATTTTTTGTCTTCAGAGTGTTTTACTCAAATGCGCCGTTCTCCAGAAAACTTGCATCCATCTAAGTAATACAAGTTCAAAACTGCAAATAGAATCTTTATTGAACATCTTCCTTTTGGTTCTACAGGGGTTCTGATAATTTAAATTTTCAACATTTTGTACAAATATTAACTACGTGGTTCTCCTTTGTTACTAGGCAGTTTTTATGGGGCGCCTTTCTCCTGAAACCGTTTAAATGGAGTTAAACTTGGCCAAAACAAATCGGCAATTCTCCTACCTGATAGTAGTCTTTTTCGGATAAAATAATTTCAGCCCGGGCTCCCACTCCCCTCACTGGTGGCTCCATGTCGTGGATCAGCCGATAGACTTCGGACTTCTGAAGATAGTCCAGGTTCTTCGGTGGCGGCTGGTACTTCAGGAAGTTGATGCTGGAAAAGGGAAACCAAGTTTTGGATGGTGAATAAACTGAACTGAACCCCCCTCCGACAAACCACAAAAATGTTAATAATTGATCAACTACTTACCAGCTTGCCTAAGGCTTTGCTGGGGACCATGCAGCAATTCGACTCTCTGGAACTGCACACAATAAATATCATGCCACCAAACTACACAGGCTTTAAGGGAGTTGGAACATCCAATAAAGCTTTGTTAAAAAAACGTCCAACTCCCTGAAGCTGCTCATATTAACCATACCTGTAAACGGGTTTCTCTTTGTCGCCCCATGGCCAAATCCTGTTCCAGTGGTTGACCTGGAAAGACAATCGGCTTTAAAACACTGAAGAGACCAGTTGCCTACCCCTTAGTTTTGCCCACGATCAGCTCCGAATGCTCCTCGATGGCTTTGCAGATTTTTTCGTCGGACATTTTCGGCGCTCTGAGTTTGGGCGTGGCATCGTCCGGGTCCGACCATTTTCTACCCCCAGGCAACACGATCGGTCTTTGTGTCCAGTCCATTTTGCGTCGCTCTTCTTCTATCTGCACATGCCGCAAAAAACTGAGTCAATCGATTGGAAGCTACTGATGTCTGGCCACCGAATCTCCCTTTATATTCGCAAACTGGTTTATAAATAACAAATCATTGGTGGCGATTTGCCGGAACGTCACAAAGGATTAGGTGCGACCTTAGGATGTGATCAATGTTGGCCCAGGATTTTTGGTTTGGAAACTTTCGATTTTGGCAGCGTTATACATAGACTTGCCTGTTTTTGGTTCATTTGCGTCATTTTTTATCGGTGTGAATGCAAATTGCAGTGCATAATAAGTGGCAAAGAACACGCTGTTGTTGCTGTGTGATTTACCAATTTTGCAAACCAAACATATTTTTCTTGCATAAGTGCGCGAAAATCAGGCTTTTAGCTAGCAAACTAAGAAGGTACTGAGCACGCGAAGAATTGATTGAAAGAATCCTCTTTTGCAACTGCTTTCACATGGTAACTGGGCTTTTCAGCGAAAATTGTTAACTTTTTGTCTCTCCACAAAGTCAGTTTCCTTTGAAGATAAGGGTTTATAACCGGCAAAATGTGGCTTATAGGCCTGTGGTTTGCCACGCAGTTTAGCCGTTTGGGCCTACTATGCTGCGTGTTTCGATGGCATAGTCCCAAGGCATTTTTCCAAGCATGCATTAGGTGCAGATTGTACAGAAGTAATTTGAAAGAAATTCGTCAAATATCGTTTAAAAGCACGGTTAGTAATGATTTCAGCTCTTTGTATTAAGAACGGACCACTTTGTTTCTACATTCGTGCCTTTGAGCCAAAAAGCTCTAGATAGGATCTTATGGTCCTTTCGAACCCGAAATTTCGAACATTTTTTGTCTCTTGAATAATTTTCGTCAAACGCACTATTTTCGAGAAAAATGCCAAATTCTGATTGAATTCATATGGAAATTTGTTTGAAATTCTTTGCCTTTTACTCCTTTGTTTTAATTAAACAACTGAAAATTTAGCAAAATGCTTCCATAAGCTTCATTTTATGCGTCCTAATCAAATGTTGTGTCGTTTATTTCCCGCTGTTTCACCCTGTGTATCTAAAAACGAATAAAAGTTTCGCTTCAATCTACTGAAGTGAAACTGGTGAGTTTTTGGAGTTTTCAGTCATGGAAAAAATCTTATTTTTTTACTACGACCTTTCTTCACCAAAAACTCGGCAGTTTCAAGCAATGTCCATAAAGGCCCAACTTTTCGGAAGTTGGCACTACTAGCTTAGTTGTACCTTCAGTTTTTTGCTTAGCAGCTTTTCCTCGCGAATCTTGGCCTCTTTTTCCTCTTCGGTTAATCCGGCGTATGGATCAAGCGGTTCCTCCACCTCTTCAGCTTCATCAGCTTCATTTTCCTGTTCCTCTGCTTTGCTCCCAGCATGATCATGCTCCAGATCATCGAAGCTTGGCTGATCATCAGCTTCGTTTTCCGTTATGTCGCCTTCAGCATTTTCTGATACCGATAAGTTTTCCTCTGGAACATCTGCAATGATTAAATGAAGCAAACTAGTGGAAGCACTTTGTTCCCTCCAAGCACCTTCTTCCTCAAAACTGCCGAATCCATTAGTGGGCTCCAGATGGTTGGATTCGTAGTCTTCAGATGAAGCCTCTTGGACTTGCGTGGTTTTTTCCAGCACAATTTTATTGAGTTGCTTAGTGACTGCCTCCAAAGTGACCTGTATAGCTGAGGGCAGCTGCGAGAGGGCCAATAGCTGCTTTTGAACCGCCGCTAGTTGCTCTTCTAGCGACAGCGACGACTCACATACAACTGGCTCAATGTGGATGTCCAAACTGCCAGGCTTAACTATGTATATTAAGTTCAAGTTTACGTCTAGAAGAACTGGCCTAAGCTACTCACGGATTGGCTTGATCTTCTTTATGGTACATTCATCGCCATTGGTTTGAATCGGCGAATCCCCATCGCTTATCTGATAAGTTGCCTGGTCATCCTCATCTTCGTCGGCTTCACACATTTCAACGGTGGTTTCTTCAGTTATTTGCACGGAAGCTTCAACTTCCAGTTCAGCCAGATGAGTGTCTTCAGACATTTCCAGCGAATCAGTTGAATCGGCTACTGAAGTATCGCGAGAAATTTCCACTTCTGTCTAAAAAACGCAATACTTGAAAGAATTCAGTGCTTTTAATAGTTAAGAGTGTTTAAACATTACCACCAGCGGCTCGAATTGCACGGATTTTTTCCGATAAAGAACATCGTTTGGATCGCGTCTGGGCTGCTTGATAATCTTCACTTTGTATGGTTCCCCCTAAAACCCCAGGTCAGTTTTTTTAAACCCCAGGGAAGTTCTACATACGACTATTTTTCGGTCTTCTTCCAATTTTTTGGGCTGCGGCCTGGGATTCTTCGGTTTCACCAGAAAAGTCGACCACTTCTTCGGCTTATTGTTTGGGCGATTTGGGCAAATCGATTCGTTCACTTGTTCCAGCACTTGTTCTTGACTGAGGAGGGCAAAAACCGTTACGAAACCCGATCGGGATAAACGTGCTCGTTTCCACTCACCCGGCCAAGTTTTCTAAATTCTCTGGTGAAGGTCCAATTTTGTGAACTTTTTCAAAGCCTGCATTCATTATAGATATTTATTGTTCACGGCCTGTGGAAATTGTGGTTGCGAATTACCTTCAAAGTTGTCCGCTAAGGTTTTGTTAAAAATGTCCTCTAGTTCCGCATTTGCTTCATCGTCCTAGAACAGAATCGTTGAGATTTTCGCTGCTTCTGCTTCAAAGTGAAGCAGTTTCTTACCGCCACAACTGGAATATCGGAAAATAATCCTCTGCAATCAAGCAATATTGATTATTAATGATGCTAATGGGGTGGAAATGAAGACTTTTTAAGAAATGTTGAGAATATCAAGAACTTCATTGTATATACTTTCCTGACTGTGTTTCAACTCCAAATCAAATTCATTCCTGGGTTTCAGTCATTTATTGTCTCTATTTATCAATCAAAATACGTTTCGGTGTATTTTTCCACCATCATCAGTTTTTATGTGTAGCGTTGTTGC